ACCCAGGGCCCTTCCTCTTGGACCCAGCTTGGCCCCTGGCACCTGACTCAGTCTCATTCCTGCTCACACACATTCATACTGAGACACAGAAGATCCGGCTGTGATTTTTCGCCTGACATGCCTCAGAGCACACGCTAGCACTTTGGTGTGATGTCACAGGGAGCCAAGGGACAAGGGGCTGGAAGTGCAGGAGCATCCTCTACTAGCAGTGGAAGCCTCACTCCTGCAGTGATTTCAGGCTGGAGGTCAGAGAGCACAAGTGACACCTTGTCAGGTGGACATGCTCTATTGAGCCCACTGTAGACTCTCAACTCAGAAGGAGAATCTATTTGATTCTAAAAAGATGTATTAACTATATATAAAATAGATAAACAACAAGGACCTACTGTATAGCACAGGGAACTATATTCAGTATCTTGTAATACCTATAATGGAAAAGAATTGGAAAAAGAATATATATATACACACACACACGTATAACTGAATCGCTTTGCTGTATACCTGAAACATTGTAAATCAACTATACTTCAATAAAAAATAAAAATTTACAAATTAGCAAAAAGATGTCCTAAGAACCTACGAGATGCCCAACCTCATGACAAGTGATGTGGGAGACTAATAATAGTAATGACAGCTTCCATTTTTCAAATTTACTGTTCCAGGCACTGTGTTAAGCACTTAACATGCATAATCTCACTTAATTCTCCCAACAACCCCATGAGGTAAGTGTGTCTATCCTACCTCACAGAGGAGGAAACTGAAGTTTTCAAAAATTCCTCTGGAAGACTGCACTGGTAGTACATGAGGAAATACAGACGGAGCCACCTGACTCCTGGGCCCAAATTCCAACCTACGTCCTCAAAGTCCCACTCTCTGGCTTCAGAAATCGACAAATTGCTTGGAGAGATAATGTATATGGAAATGTATGCCTTCTCCAGACTGTCCGAATACACCCTTAGGAGGGCACATGTTGCAATACTAGGAATGATAACATTAACTTCCTCCTCTTTGCAGAATGCTCAAGAAACTTACAAAGCACATTCAGAAGACTGTGGAATAGTGGGAAAAACAGGAGATGAGGGGTATCAGACCCACTCAGGTTTGATTCCCAGACCCTCTACCTCTTAGCTGTGTGACTCAGGGTGGTCACAGCCCTTTTCTGGGGTCTGCACTCGCCAGCGCATAGGAAATGAATGCTCTGAGAAGGACAGTGGCTTCTCTAGGGTACCCTAGGGAGGTAGACTCAGAGCCAGCTGGTTCTTGGAGACTGCAAGGCGGTTTCCCCCTGCAGAGGTGGGGAATAGGAGCCCTGGGCAACTCTCTGGGAAGCTGTGGTAATCCCTTCTCCCTGGGCCCCCCTTTTCTGGGGGAAGTACTCCGAGTTCTGAGCTTAGACTCCTGGCAGGAAAGAACCTCCGGGTCTCCCCTCGGGCCCACCTTCTTGCCCCCTGGACTAGGCCAGACCAGTTGTTGGTGGTAAGATGCTTCCTGGGTGTGATCTGACACCTCTACCCCCCAACAAAAGTAACTGATTGCTGGAGCCAGATTGCACCTCCTGGGGTCAGAAGACCATAGACTGCCAGGACATTGGGCAAGTCATTTAATCTCTTTATGCCTCATGGCTTCCTGTTAAGATAGGGAAAATGATGGGTTGTTATGAGGTTATAAATGAGGTAATGAGACTATAAATGTATTGAGAATTGTGAAGTGCTTGGAACAGGCCTGGCACAGAGTAGGTGCTTTTGTCATTGTTAAAGTTTCTTAACATTCTTCAGTTTCCGAATCTGTGAAGTGGGGATGATGTTATTGACCTTACAGGGCTGTAGGGAAGGTTCGTTGGAACAATTAGTAGTAATAATTGTAATAATATCAATATCTACATTTATTGAACATTTTCTATGGGCCTGGCATTGTTCTAAAAGCTTTCTATGAATTAGCTTGTTGAATCTTCCTAACAATCCAATAGTCTCGATAATAATCCTGACATGATCCCCATTTTCCAGATGAGAAAATCAGGTTGATCAAGGTCACACGATGAGGAAAGAGCAGTCAAGAGCTGAGCCTAGTGGTGGCAGTCACTGCTTCCGAAGTCCTTGGGTGCCAGCATGCTGCTGTTTATTTAGTATATTATCTAGTTTCATCCTCATAACAACCCTACAGGGATGGTATTATTATCCTACTTATCCTTATATTGTAGCTGAAGATGCTGCAGCCCAAAAGGGTAGGTGATCTTTCTGGGGACACCCAGCATGAGTTTGTGACACCAGCATTCAGATCCTGCATCTGCAGGGGCCCCGATCGGGGGATTTCTGGCTTCTCTTTGCATTTATCTAATACAAGGAGTTCTCACCTCCCATGGCACTTATCACTCCAGCCGTTGGGAAGCTCTCCCTTAGGACAAGCTGAAATCTGCCCACTCTGAGTTCTGGGCCTCAGCAATACTAGTCCTCACCTCCTCCTCCCCTGGACATGGTTTTGGGCCCCTTCTTGTCCCCCACCCTGCTGTAGATGATCTATGTCCCTTTCATGGGTCAGAGGTCAGATCTGGCCCATCTACAGAAAGGGATTGAGTTGAGTGTCACCTCCCTTTCCTGGGCACCCACTCCTAGTGACCAAACCCTTCAGCCCTAGCCTGGTAGGGGTGGAAACTCCAGGTGAGATCTATATTCAGGATGTTGACTTTTTGAACCGAAATGAAGTGGCTAGTGGTTTCAGAGACCAGCTCCAGATGTGCTCTCATCCCCACCTGGCTCCTGTTTGGGGAAGTGGAACTTCTCTGGATTTCTCAGGGTTCCGGTAAAAAGCCCTATCTTCCTGAGACTCTTCATATAACCAGAATCCTTCATAGAACCAGGATTAATTGCTCTAATCCAAAAGAATGATAAAACCTCACTTATCTCTTCCCGAGAGGCCCAAATCATTACAGCCCGAACAAAGTTCCTAGGTTAAGACCCCAAGGTGCCAGGGAGCCTGGAGCAGCTCCCTCAGTGGGCCAGCATGGAACATGCAAGAACTTCAACGGTTCAAGAAGGAATGAGCCCCAGAACTCAGAGACAAGTCATAAAAGCAGAGGTGTGCTAGGAGCTATCTGACTCCTGGGGAGATTTGTTTACTTGCCAGAAAGTTGGAGTAAGAAGATCTTTAAGGGGGGCTTCCCTGGTGGTCCAGTGGTTAAGACTCCACACTTCCATTGCAGGGGCCATGGGTTCGATTCCTGGTCAGGAGTTAAGATTCTTCATGTTGCAAGGCGTGGCCAAAAAAAAAAGAAGACTTTTAAGGAGGGAAGGGGGACAGCTGCTTCCTTCTCCTTTATAAGCAGGGAAAATAATTCTTCCTTGATTCTCACGTACGGGGTGTCTGGCTACTCTCATGGGACAGTTGACCTGGCTCTTGTCGAAGCTCAGACTAACAGAGACGGAGAGTGGTCGAGGGAGAAATGAACAAATCCAGGAAAAGGCTGAGAGGCCAGTAGAGGACAGAGTGAGTCTCTGTATTTATTCATTCACTAAGTATTTACTGAGCACCTGCTGTGTGCCACAGACTTTGTTCAAAGTTGGAGATGAGCAGTGAACAAAATTTATATTCTGGTACAGGAGACAGACAAGAAACCAACAAGTAAAATATATCATGTGTCAGATCGTGATAAATGTTATGGAGAAAAATAAAAAGGGGAAGGGAGATGTGAGATTTAAAATCAGGGAGGTAGGAAAAGCCCCACTGAAAAAGTGACATGGGGTAAAGATCTGAGGGAGGAGGGGGAGGCAGCCACGAAATAACTGGGGTTTGAAAGAGTGTTCCAGGCAGAGGGGAGAGAAATGCAAAGGCCGAGGCGGGAGTGAGCAGAGGGAGAGGTGAGTGATGACTAGGGTGTGAGGACTTTGGTGTTTTTTTTTTTTGCGGTACGTGGGCCTCTCACTGTTGTGGCCTCTCCCGTTGCGGAGCACAGGCTCCGGACGCGCAGGCTCAGCGGCCATGGCTCACGGGCCCAGCCGCTCCGTGGCATGTGGGATCTTCCTGGACCGGGGCACAAACCCGTGCATCGGCGGGCGGACTCTCAACCACTGCGCCACCAGGGAAGCTCCTAGGACTTTGGTTTTTAAATTGAGATTTGAAGGATAAGCCTTGAGGCTCTCGGTTGCAGGCTCTGGATCTAGTTCATTCATTTATTCAGCTGTCCCTCTATCACTCATTTTCCAAGCACTTAGGGAGGCCCACTTTGCCCCACAGCTTGTGCTGAGCACTGGAGACACCAACAGGGAAAAGGCTCTCCCCTCAGCCCTGCAGGAATAAAAACTTTCAGGGTTGGGGGAGGTTCTATTCTCCCGCATGTGGAAATAATACTGCCGGTGTGACTTTGGAGAGCCTTAAGCCTGGGGAATAAGTGGGTGACAAGCTGGGGAGGCGGCCACAGGCAGGGAACGGGGGAGGCTGGAGAGTGCAGAGGCTGGGGTGAGGGAGAAAGAGGAGACTCCCTTCAATCATGTTTCTGTCTTTTCCATGGTATGAGAGGCCCTGTCTCTGCTGGCTCTGAGCTCTGGCTCCAGGCTGGGCAGGGGAGAGGACAGTGGGATGGGCCAGGACAGGTGGCCTTGACATGTGATGCTTGTCCGCTGACAGCTCAGTCCTCACTTTTAGAACGGTTTCCAGAAGTGATGGAAGGGGATGGGCAGGGCAGCTAAATATAGTCCTGGGGCCAGAGGTCAGTCTGGGAGGGTCTGTCTGCTATTCAATGCGGGCCCATCTCCCGTGGTGTTCCTCGTCCTCGGTCTGAGCTCGGTGCTTCCTTCTCACCTGTCTTCAGACACAGATCTGACCCACCTACAGTTAGGCCTGACCTTGACTGGGCCTCTTGCAAGTCTCTTTTTGTCCAAGGTCTCCAACCAGACCTGTGAGTCCTGCGGGTCCTGCCGGCCTGGGGATATGGGGGAGGGGAGAGCTGCGGGCCCTGGAGAGGTGAGAGGAGGGGAGGGGGGAGGGGCGCTGGAGAATCTGGGGTTGGGGCTGAGGCCTGGGGCTAAGTCGGGGGAAGGACAGTGGGTAAGACCGTGTTTGCAACCCAGCCTCGTGTTTAGGAACTGGGATTGAGACCGGGTCCCTGATAGGGGCTATTTGGGGGGCCGGGGCTGAGAACCGCAGTTGAGGCTGCCTTTGGGACTAAGAGAGAGTCCCCTTCCCTCCCTTGGCCGGTACCAGAGTCCCTTCCTGTTTGAGATGAGAGGCTTCTATAGGCTGGGGCTCCTCCCTGCGGGGCTGCCAACCCGGCCTGGGGCTGGGGCTGGCCCTGGATTGTGGCTCCGCTGAGCCTCCCTGACCGACACCTCCTTACCCAGGCCCGCAATGTCGGCTGCACCCGGCCTCCTGCACCAGGAGCTGTCCTGCCCGCTGTGCCTGCAGCTGTTCGACGCGCCCGTGACAGCCGAGTGCGGCCACAGCTTCTGCCGCGCCTGCCTGGGCCGCGTGGCAGGGGAGCCGGCCGCGGACGGCACGGTGCTCTGCCCGAGCTGCCAGGCACCCACGCGGCCGCAGGCGCTCAGCACCAACCTGCAGCTGGCGCGCCTGGTGGAGGGGCTGGCGCAGGTGCCGCAGGGCCACTGCGAAGAGCACCTAGACCCGCTGAGCATCTACTGCGAGCAGGACCGCGTGCTCGTGTGCGGCGTGTGCGCCTCGCTCGGTTCGCATCGCGGCCACCGCCTGCTGCCCGCCGCCGAAGCCCATGCGCGCCTCAAGGTGCGGGGCCGGGCGGCCTCCGGTGGGGGGCGGGGGCGGATGGGGTTGTTGGACGGGTCGGGGCCGGGCCGATCGGGCCTCTTGAGCTTCAGGGCCCGGGGCGCATGGAGTTGCCAGGTACGCGGGCAGGGCGGGGCGGCTAGGGAATGGGGGTGCTGATGAGCTCAGGGCGGAGCTTGGCGGAGACCCGAGCCTTGAAGAGGCGCTCGGAGACCGGCCTCGGCGGGATAGGCGCGCCAGCTGGAGCGCGCCGGAGATGCGGGGGACTCAGCCGTAGGGCGGAGTCTGTGGAGCCGGGGGCTGAGCGAGGACTGAGTCGGTGCCCGCGGCCCAGGCGCGCAGGCTCTGCTGCTGGGCACAGGCCCGGGTAAGAGGGGCGGGGCTGGCCGGGGGGGGGCGTGGTGCTGGGCGGGGTGGGCACACAGTTGCTGGGCGGTGGCCCCCCCTGCTCCCCTGGAGCAGCAGAGCTTGTGCGGGCCTGACCGTCATCAGATGTGGCCTAATCCAAGGGGACCCGGGAGGCCAAGGCACGCCTGGGTACGCACCTCTGTGCACAGGCCCAGGTTGGCACCGAGACCCAAGTCCAGGCTGTTACTGTGATTGGAGCTGGAAGTTCCGAACGCTTCCAGAGCCCACACACAGTTGTGCGCCCCGAGGTTGGCGATCTCCATGGAAGCCCAGCAAAGACACCCAGACATTGGCAAATGGGGACACAGGCACACGCTGGCTCAGCTGTCATACGTATGGCAAATCACACGCATGCAGCTACGGGAGGGTTTAGGTATACACAGGCCCGAGGAGGTCTGTCATGAAGCATTTATAGGGTCGTTGGAAGAATAAACGACAGGTGCAGCGGCGGGAGGAGGCGGGGTCTGGAGGCGTGGAGCGGTGCTCCGTCGCCGTCTCCGCGGTGCAGAAACTGCCAGCGTCTTCTCGCGCTGCTGTTTGGGGGGGTGGGTGGCGGGGTGGGGGGTAATCTTTGCCCACAAACATCAGCGTTGCAATGCACTTCTCCTTGGCCTCCAGACTCCTAGAGGGGGTAGATCCCGCCCTGAGGCTGGTATTCGAGGGCCCCATTCTCTCCCAGGGGCCCAACTTCACCGTACCTCCGCCTTCAGCCTAGCACAGTCCAGCTCGGTGCTGGCTGGTGGTCCCTAACCCAGTGCAGGAGCCTCCTCCACCCAGGAGCCCTCCCTGCCCAGGCTCACCTCTGCTGATAACCACAGAACTCCCATCCTTATCCGTCTTTATCTGTGAAGAGAGAACAGAGTCTGTGAAATGGGACAGGGCAGCAGGCAGCCCAGGAGCCTCCAGGGGGCAGGTGGGGTGGGATACAGTCTGCCAGGGTCTGTACCAGCCCAACCCTAAGCCGCAGAGAGGGGCTGGCTGGAGGTCTGAAATGGGGATCCCTGGAAGGAGCCTGAAGGAGGAGCGGGGCAGGAAGCCTGGGGTGGGACTGAACACCTGGGTCCTTGGGGAGGAAGAGGGGCTGGGTCGAGACCATGTGCCAGACCCAAGTATGGTTGAATGGGATCTGCCGGGTGAGGGGGACACTCACACCCCCCTGAAGCCGTGCTGCCTCCTCCTGCACGCCTCGGAGTAGGAGACAAGCCTGTCGGTAAGATCCACCACACGCCACGTCGTGGAGCACTGCTCCCCACGCCTCCTCACTGCGGGATGTTCCGAAAGTCTCTGTGCAGCCCCCAGCTTCTAGGGTGGCATTGTGCTTGGTCCCCATGGCTCAGCCCTTCTGCCCATGAACCTCGGATGCCTGAGAGCCACCAGGCCCACCCTGTCCTGCAGCAGGGAGGGCTGTGGCCCTGCAGGACGTCTGGGGCAGGAGACTGACCTGGCGGCTGGCCACGGGAGCCCATGGTACAATTCCAGTGGGGATTCGTCAGCAAACAGTGCTTAGAGGGTCTCCCAGCTTCCTTTAGGGGGAGGTGGGAAGGAGGCTGCCAATTTGTCACAACCAGAGGTGAGGTGGGGATGACTGTTCCCATTCTGCAGAAGACCAAACTGAGGTTGGAAGCCATGGAGACATGGCTGATTCCAGGGCCATGGGTCTGATTCCAGGGCCGTGCACCTCCCAGCAAACAGTGGCTTTGGCTGGAGGTATAGGAACTCCCCTACACCTGCATTTCAGGAATCACAAACTGACAGACCTAGGGTAGGAGCTGACCCACAGATATGTTTGGTTCATTCATGCAGAAGACATTTTTATTAAAATGTCTACCCCAAGAGCGCACCGGTGTGCAGGGAGGCTGATTAGGGCGTTTTGCTAAGGTTCTGCTTTTAAGTATAGGGTGAGGGCCAGGAATAGGAGGAGGCTGCATTTCTTCTTTTCACATCCTCTGCTCACCACTGAAACCTGCTGTGCGCAAAGCCCCTGCCCCTCCAGTGGAGGAGACCAAACCACATTTGTGATTATCATCCTCACAGAGACCTGTGCTGGGGGGCTGTCTGCAGAGGGGATGGAATCAGGGAAGGAAGGCAAGGCTAGGGAGGACTTACCTAGCCAGACCACAGGAGGGTGAAGCATTCTAGACCTCAGAACCAGTACCGGCAAGGGCTTGAGACCAGCGAGCGTGTATGGTAAGATGCCAGTCTGGCTGGAAGAGAAGCTGGCGCTGAGGCTGAGCCAGAGGGAGCAGGTTAAGTGGGGGAGGTGGGCAGCAACATCACTTCTTTCTGTCTTACCCCCCAGACGCAGCTCCCACAGCAGAAGCTGCAGCTGCAGGAGGCATGTATGCGGAAGGAGAAGAGTGTGGCTGTGCTGGAGCATCAGCTGGTGGAGGTGGAGGTGAGGGGCTCCGCACAGCAGAGCCCGGGGACTGGGGGTTTAGGCTGGGGGTTCCCGGCCAAATGTTTTTGTCTGTCTGTCCCCACAGGAGACAGTGCGTCAGTTCCGGGGGGCCGTGGGAGAGCAGCTGGGCAAGATGCGGTTGTTCCTGGCTGCACTGGAGGGCTCCTTGGACCGCGAAGCTGAACGTGTACGGGGTGAGGCAGGGGTGGCCTTGCGGCGGGAGCTAGGGAGCCTGAACTCTTACCTGGAGCAGCTGCGGCAGATGGAGAAGGTGCTGGAGGAGGTGGCAGACAAGCCACAGACTGAGTTCCTCATGGTGAGCACTGGGTGGCTTTCCTCTCTGCCCCTCAGCCAGGGTTCAGGTCTCAGAGACCTCATTCCATTGTCAGGCAGGGACCCTGAGGTCCAGAGAGGGGCAGGGGAGAGCCAGTGTCACACACTGAGGAGGGGTGCACCCCAAGATGGCCATTATGGTTGTTTAAGTTGGGCACTGCACAAGGACATTATATCTAAGTGGGCACCATTCATATCATAGATATTGTAGGTCTGCATATTTATTAGGACAATTTTTTTACCAGGTGGAATTAGTTTCTTGAGGAAGGGGGTACTTTATTCATTTTTTAAATTAAAAAAATTATTTGTATTTACTTTATTTTTGGCTGGGTTGGGTCTTCGTTGCTGCACGCAGGCTTTCTCTACTTGTGGCGAGCGGGGGCTACTGTTCGTTATGGTGCACGGCCTTCTCATTGCGGTTGCTTCTCTTGTTGCTCTAGGCATGCGGGCTCAGTAGTTGTGGCTCGCAGGCTCTAGAGCTCAGGCTTAGTGGTTGTGGCGCATGGGCTTAGGTGCTCCGCAGCATGTGGGATCTTCCCGGACCAGGGCTTGAACCCGTGTCCCCTGCATTGGCAGGCAGATTCTTAACCACTGGGACACCAGGGAAGTCCCAGGAGGGTACTTTTTTCTAATTCACACAGAGGTAAAAGGCTAAGGGCGACCTTGAATTCTAGGTTTCTTTTGTCTTCTCTGATTCTTCCTGGTCCCACACTTAGCATTTCTGTGGTCCACCCCACCCTCAGGAGTCCCCAGTGTCCCCACTGCCTGCTCAGCTCCATTCTCTTTTTCTCTCTTTCCAGAAATACTGCCTGGTGACCAGCAGGTGAGATCAGCCTGGCCCTGCCCCCTTTCCCACTTTGCCCTTGTCTGCCAGGGACACTGGCTGGCTCACCCTCTACTCGCATTCAGTCCACTGCGATTCCCCTGCACTTTGTGTGGATGTAGAAAAGAACCCAACCCGTCCTTCTCCTCAGGGACCTCCCAGACTGGTCCTGGAGACAGACAGGGACACAGCACACAGGAATCACTCAGTGCTGCCGTGGAGGGGAGGGGGTGGCCAGGGCAGGTTTTCCGGAGGTGTGCATTGTAGAGTTGGATGCTGAAGGAGTGAACAGGAGTTGGCTAGGTTAAAGAGTTGGTGGAAGAGCATTGCAGGCAGAGGGAACAGCAGTGCAAACTGCTAAGAGGGAGGGAAGATGAAGCTGGTGAGGCAGGAGGGGCCCAACTGTGAAGGGCGGAGAAGCTGGACCTTATCCTAACAGAAGGCTTTAAAAAAATTCTAGTAAAATATTCATAACATAAAATTTACCATTTTAACCTTTTTTTTGTTTTTGGCACGGCTTGTGAGATCTTAGTTTCCTGACCAGGGATCGGCAGTGAAAGCACAGAATCCTAACCACTGGACCACCAGGGAATTCGCCATTTTAACCATTTTTTTTAGTGTACATTTTAAGTTCAGTGGCATTAAGTACATTCATGTTGTTGTGTAACCATCACCGCCATCCATCTCCACAACTTTTTCATCTTCCCCAACTGAAACACCAACAGAGGCGTTTTAAGCCAGGATGTGATGTGGTGGGGCTGGTGTGGGGGGGACCCTGGAACTCCACCGTAGCACGCATCCTCCTCTTTTCTGGGTACTCCCGCTTGCCCTCCCCCAACCCCGTGCCTCCTCCAGGACGTCCCTTCGCACACACCTCACCACCCCCACCCCCCACCAGGCTGCAGAAGATCCTGGCAGAGTCACCATCACCTGCCCGTCTGGACATCCAGCTGCCCGTCATCTCAGATGACTTCAAATTCCAGGTGTGGAGGAAGATGTTCCGAGCTCTGATGCCAGGTACTGGGAGGGTCTCGCTCTGGGTTTGCGTTTGTAACTGTGTGGTTGATGGGAGGCTCCGGCCACATGCAGAGAGGCCTCCCAATTCCAGCTGGGGAGGTCATCCAAGAAGGGCCCACTGCCCCTTTCCCTTGGGGTTTCCCTGCACCTTCATAACCTGTGCTCAGAGAGGGATCTGAGAGGGCATGGGGTTTTCAGGTGGGTGACTGACATGGTGAGGACACTGCTTACTGAAAGGATGTTGCTGCCGGCAGCAGGGGAGGCTGGGGCCCGGGTTTGAGCCCTGCGTGATCCTTGGCCCGTCCCTGCCCCTGTTGGCCAGTGGAGATGATGATCCCTGCTAACTGGGGGCTGAGGACTTGCAGAGATGGAATCCTGCGGTCAGACACTGACTCTGGCCTGTGGCTGGGGAGGCCCAAGGGCTCAGCCTCCTCTCCCCAATAGCTAAAGCACATTGGGATGCTGCAGGCTCCAGGCTCCAGGACACGTACACAAGGCTGGTGCAGCCCTCACTTGTGGGAATGGAGGGACCTCCATTTTATCCAAGAGAAGACTAAGGCCCAGAGACTGGATCAAGGCTGAGGTCACACAGTAGGGCGAGGTAGGGACTTGCCTAGGACCGGGCTTCCTGACCATCTCCTGCTCTGGGGCCTTAGACGGCGAGTAACATGCCTTGTATCAACTTACTCCTGCCCACAACCCTGGAAGGAGGCAATTATGGCCTCGTTTTACAGCTGAACAATCTGAAGCCCTGAGAGGTGTGGTCTTCGGCCCCCACCAGTAAGCAGAGAGGGGCTCACTTCCCAGAGATGCCGGGAGGATTAGAGGAGACGAAGCTGGCCCACAGGTTGGTGGGCAGAAGGCTCGCGGGAGCCACACCCGCAGGGCCTGACCCTCCTCCCTCCTGTGGCAGCGCTGCAGGAGCTGACCTTTGACCCGAGCACGGCCCACCCAAGCCTGGTGCTGTGTGCCTCGGGCCGCCGTGTGGAGTGCTCAGAGCAGAAGGCGCCGCCGGCCGGAGAGGACCCGCGCCAGTTCGACAAGGCCGTGGCGGTAGTGGCGCACCAGCTGCTCTCCGAGGGCGAGCACTACTGGGAGGTGGAGGTGGGCGACAAGCCACGCTGGGCGCTGGGCGTGATCTCGGCCCAGGCCGGTCGCCGCGGCCGGCTGCAAGCGGTGCCCTCGCAGGGGCTCTGGCTGCTCGGGCTGCGCGAAGGCAAGATCCTGGAGGCTCACGTCGAGGCTAAGGAGCCCCGCGCCCTGCGCACCCCCGAGAGGCGGCCGACGCGCATCGGGATCTACCTGAGCTTCTGCGATGGCGTCCTCTCCTTCTACGACGCCAGCGACCCCGACGCACTCGAGCTGCTCTTCGCCTTCCACGAGCGCCTGCCCGGGCCTGTGTACCCCTTCTTCGACGTGTGCTGGCACGACAAGGGCAAGAACACTCAGCCACTGCTGCTCGTGGGGCCCGACGGCAGTGGCGAGGCCTGAGCCACCCGCCGGGTTTGGGGAGGGGTGCGGGGCCCTGCCGGCCTGGAAGGAGAGACGGGTCGGGTTGCCGGGCTTGAAGGCAGGGCGGAGGGGGTTGGGGACTGGGGACTCCAAGCGTTCTGAGAACTTTGGGGTTGGCATGAACAGGGGACTGCCAGCCAGGGGTTGGGGTGGTGGTGGGAAAGGGAGATCTGAAGTCAGGTCAGTGGGGGAACTCCACTTGGGGAACCAGGAAAGCCCAAGGGTTCTGGGAAGAAACAGATTGGGGAAGGGTCAGGGGGCTTGGGGAGAATTGCGGGGAGGAGCTGGAGAACTCTGTAGAGCAGCGGTCCGCAACCTTTTTGGCACCAGGGACCGGTTTCGTGGAAGACAATTTTTCCACGGATGGGGGTTGGGGGCGGGGGTGTGGGGGATGGTTCAGGCGGTAATGCCAGCGATGGGGAGCGCAGATGAAGCTGCGGCTGGCTGGCGTGCAGCCCACCTCCTGCTGTGCGGCCCCGGTTCCTAACGGGCCACAGGCTGCCACTGGTCTGTGGCCCTGGGGGTTGGGGAGCCCTGATGTAGAGTAAGAAGCCCCTGCAGCCTCACACTCCGCTCCCCCTTGGGGGCCTCCACTGCCAGGATCCAGACTCACTGTAGCAAGAGGCCTTCCACTTGGTGATTCTCCAACTGGAGCATGCATCAATATCACCTTTTCAAAGCACCTAACGGTTCTGGTTCAGTACGCCAGGGCAGGTCAAAAATGTGCCTTTCTAACAAGTCCACAGGGGGCACTGATGCTACAGGTCACAAGCAGGATCACACCTGAAGCATTGCTGACTTAGCTAGCCCTCCTTCTGTTCAGTCAGCTCTCTGTTATAGAGAGTCAGTTATCACATAGCTATCAGCTATGAGGCATGGAAAACCCAAAACATATTCCTCCATGCAACAGCTGTTTAAAAACTGCCACAGGGCTTCCCTGTGGAAGCCCTTAACAGTGGTTAAGAATCCACCTGCCAATGCGGGGACACGGGTTCGAGCCCTGGTCCGGGAAGATCCCACATGCCACGGAGCAACTAAGCCTGTGCGCCACAACTACTGAGCCCGCGCGCCTAGAGCCTGTGCTCTGCCACAAGAGAAGCCACTGCAATGAGAAGCCCACGCACAGTAGAGTAGCCCCTGCTCGCTGCAACTAGAGAAAACCTGTGCTCAGCAACGAAGACCCAAAGCAGCCAAAAGTAAAAAACAAACAAATAAATTAATTAATTAAAAAAAATAAAAATAAAAACCGCCAGAGCCTATGCTGGGTGAATAAACTGACCCCCAATTTTTTGCCCTTTGTCTCTGGAATATGTTCACTGAGTGTCTAGGACATGGAGGAAATCCCCCAAGTTGCCAACAAAGAGAAAGAGCCTGAAGCAAGCCCTGCCCTGGGCCCTGCTGCTTGTGGAGGATAGAAGCTCCCACCTCATCACATCCCCCACCCCCCAGTTGCCTCCTCAAAAGCCAACTTCTTTTTTTTTTTTTTTTTTTAACTCAAAGTCCTGTTTCTTGGGTTTTGGAGTAACCACTGAAGCCAAGAGTGGGAGTCCCTCTTTCCTGGAGGGAGAGGTTTTTGGGGACTCAGGCAGGTGGGACAGGTGGCTGCTGCCTCTCTCATCCTAAGGAAGGGTGAAGGCCTGCAGCCATGCATTGTCACCAGTGGGCCTGCTGCTGCTCTGTGAAAAGGCCTGGGGCCCCCTGGCAACTGTGGGGATTTTCTGGGGGTGGGGGGAGAGGAAGGTGGGCAGGGTAAGAAAGGCCTCAAGACCTGGCTGGGGGTGCACTCCTGGCTGCGTCTCACAGAGGAGGGCCTCTTGGGCCCTGGCTCTGGGACACAGAAGAGAGGATTCATTTGAGAAGCTCTTTCATGCTAGAAATAAAACCATAAAGTAAAGGGATTCTTTGGTTGTCGAATCCAGCAGCATGAATAAACGCGATTATATTCCGACTCCTTCCTCATTGAATCTGTGTGAAGAGATGAATGACCTATTGCTAGGCAGTATCCTCTCATGGCCAGCCCAGCCTTCAGTCTTGACCCATCAAATCTTTTTAAAAACCCAACTGTGGTCATGTGATTCCGTTGCTCAAAACTTTCAAGGACTCCTAGTTTCCTGCAGGAAGAAGCCCCCAGTCTTTGTCTTGGCTGCCCGCGCGGGCCGCTCGGCTTGTGCGATCTTAGTTCCCTGACCAGGGATTGAACCCGAGCCCTCGGCAGTGGAAGTGGAGTCCTAACCGCTGGACAGGGAATCCCCCCTCCAGCCTCATCTTGTGCCTCGTGTACACATACGCCTACACTCTGGCCCTACTGAACTCTTGGGGTCCCTGTACACCCCATATTATGCAAGTCTCCACAAGGAATGGCTTTTCCTTCCCCCACTCATCCTACAAGTTTCTCCAGAAACACATTTCTTAGCTTCTCTTGATCCCAGCACCTCTTTACAATGTGCAACCACTGCGCTGAATCCCCATCATGGGTGCCTGGGGAGGGCTGCAGGCTCTTGGGCCCAAGAGCCTCCAGCCCTTTTCTAGGAAATGGGTACTCTGAGACACAGATGCCAAGACAGGATTAAATGTGCAACGATTTTTTTCTGAGGGAAGGCGCCTGTGAGAGAGAAAATGGGGCCGTCAGATTGTGATGCCCGTCTGACCCCGAGTGAAGGAGAGAGAGAAGGTTGGGTGGATGGGTCCTTGACTGTTGTGGGGACTCCTCCAGAGAGCTGCCCCCATGAGGGGCCATGGGTGTCCCTGCCTTGCTTGAGGGAGCAGACTGCGGGGACAGGTCTCATGGCTCTCAGCGGCTGCCCTCAGACATTTGCTCCACTGAGTTGGAGTTACAGCGGGCAATTTTCTTTTGTTGGAATTACAGTGGGAAACTTCCTTTTCACAGCCTTCACGGGTTCTTTGTGTGTAAAGTTGGCCTGGCTTGGCTGTGTGCATTGAGAGAAATGACCCGGTGACCTTCCCCATGGCTGACTGAGTGAGAGGTGGAGTCCCTGAGCCAAAGGCAGTCGTGATGGGACGAGTGTGTGGGAAACTCTGCGTGATCCTTGTTGGATGGAGGTCACCTGGTTCAGTCAGAATCTCCCTGGGGCTGGAGGAAGGGGAAATGGGAACAGAGACGTGGATCCCTCCAGCAAAGGATCAGAATCTCCTCTTTTAGTATTAATATTTCCCTCTTTGTGGACACTCTGGGAACCCATTGCAACTGGCTGCAGAGAGGTTTGCTGTGCCTCCTGACTTCTGTGTGTCCAAGAACAAACGGTCATGCTAAACTGCGGGCAAAAACATTTATTGAGAGCTTGTTTTGTGTCAATAACTTTGTATTCAATATTTCATTTACCCTCATAACCCTAGGCCTCACGACAACTAGCATCTCACTAGGCTGCCAGGCTCGGTTGCCTCTTTCCCGGGGTTCGAGTATCCCTGGGAACATGATGGTCTGACCCTGAAGGATGTACCACAGGTGCATGGTATGTCCTGGAGCCTCACCTTTACGCCAAGATCCTTCTTCTTTTTCTTGATAATGGCGGTGGTGGTGGGAAAGTTGTGTTATTCAACCAATAGGTAAACATTGAAAACATCATGTTCGTATCAAAAAAACATTATGGAGTACAGAATTTGCGCAGATTTTTGAGATTAAACAAGAGATGTCCACAAAGTTTTGCCCTGGTGCTGGCTGTTTGGACCTAGACTTTCAGACCCTCAAGGATATGAGTTCTTAAAATTATTTTAAAAATTAAAAAATATATAAATAATGCATGAATATACTTAATAATATTTTACAAGGGGAAAGTTGTCTGCCCATGCTTTCAAATCCTAATTTCTTCTCTTCCTTCCTCATCAGAAATGATCCCCGTTGTCAGTTTGGTGAGTAGTTTTCCAGGATTTTCTGTACATATATGTGATAATATTGATATATAATACAGTGTTTTTCTTTCTGTATAAGTGATGTCGTACTCTATATGAGTATGACATACTATTCTACATATTCTGCAACATCCTTTTTTCAATTCAGTCATACAGACAGGAGATCTGTCCATGTTACTATATAGAATGTACCTTCTCCTTTTTCATTGCGGTGTAGTACTCCACTGTGTGAATGTGTCATAGCTTACTTTATCATTCCCTGATTGGTTGGTATTTGTTTCCAACCTTTGTTATTACAAACAATGCTGCAGTTAACATCTGTGGATGTGCCTCTGTGTGCACATGTGCAAGGGTTTCTTCTCTAGGGTAGGTACTGAGTGGTAGAGTTTCTGAGTCCCAGCATGAGCATCTTAAAAATTTTAATGGTGTCACCATAAAATTGTGGACTTGAAGAAAAAGTGGTGGAGTGGAAGGATTACATGGACATGAAGTGGTTAAAACTTCAAAGCTGTTGGACTTGAAGGATTACATCAGGAAACTATCTTTTATCATTGGGTTCAGCCATGCTCTGGAGGACTGTATAGCTTTTGGGTCATTCTCAGCTATCAGAACAGTCATTCTGATGTCATTTTCGGGTATGAGAATGCCCAGTCCAGCATAATTCAAAATTTCAACATCACTGTCAATTTAAAGCCACCACTTTCCACTTCAGTGGACAAGGGGGTGGGGATCGAGTTTTTCACTCTCCTCTCAATCCCCTTCCTTCCCCCAAACCCTCCCCACCCCTGCTCTGCTGGCTCCTTCAAGGTTCAGGTTACTTAGAGGAAAAAGAGGCAGAGTGACATATGATTGGTGGTGGCTCTAATCTGGGAGCCCTGTCATGACGGGCATCCAAATACTGCTGCTTTCATGGGAGGCGCTGTTGGGTTCTTCAGAGGTGATGTAGGCAGACAATCTCGGGCCCTCCTGTGACAACCCCTCAGCTCCTGCCCTGCGTCCCTGCGCCACACACCTGCAGTGGTTACACTACTCCTGGGTCCCTTTGCCAAGGCAGGTGGGCGGCTGCCCCAGGCAGGGACCTATCACACCTTGAGCCCAGTTACTTTTGTCCGCATTCACTTGGCCTAGGGCTTCTCACCTAAAGATAAGGGCGTGATCCTATCTCTCTCCTTGCCTCACCATCTTGGGCTGCTCCTGTATACTCTGTCCCTCCTTTACAGTCCTCCAGATGGGAAGCCAGCGTCAGTCTCCAAGTCCATGTAGGTCTCCAAGCCCAGGTGACATGTGTCAGGTTCTCCTAAAGTAAGTCAGAAAGAGAAAGACAAATACCGTATGCTAACACATATATATGGAATTTAAGAAAAAAAATGTCATGAAGAACCTAGGGGTAAGACAGGAATAAAGACACAGACCTACTAGAGAATGGACTTGAGGATATGGGGAGGGGGAAGGGTAAGCTGTGACAAGCGAGAGAGAGGCATGGACATATACACACTACCAAACGTAAGGCAGATAGCTAGTGGGAAGCAGCTGCATAGCACAGGGAGATCAGCTCGGTGCTTTGTGACCGCCTGGAGGGGTGGGATAGGGAGGGTGGGAGGTGGGGGAGAAGCAAGAGGGAAGAGATGTGGGAACATATGTATGTGTATAACTGATTCACTTTGTTATAAAGTAAAAAAAAAAAAAAAAAAAAAAGAACTTCTGGCCAGCCTTCATCTTTCCAGTTCCTGCAGCCCAGGGCGGGAGAGCTACCTCCAATCTCCATGAAGACTTCTTTTGGGAAACCCTGTCACTTGCTTCCGGGTGTGAGGAACCCTCTTTGGGGAACAGGCGGGGAAACCTCACAGCTCTCTAGTCCATCCAGGTGGGTGATGTGGGTGGAATTTGTGGGGCTGGACCTGATCTCTCACTAGGAAGTCCCAAAGGGTATGTCCGCAGCTCTCTTTAGAATATGGGGCAGTGTATTGATCGTGATCACGTACTATGCTCAGCTTTGGGACTTTAAACAAAAATTGCCTCTATCAGTTTATACTCCAAACAGTGCCAATACGAGAATATAGTTTCCCTAGAGCTTCTCCAGCACTCAATATTATCAAACTCAAATTCTTTTTTCTTTTTGCCAATGTGGTAAGAAATAAATAAATAGTATCCTAC